AGTTGCCTGGCCTATACACTGGTTGACCTTGTTCCAGCCATGTCCTGTTCCAGCCAGTCCCCAATGGCTGACCTGTTGCTATGTCTTATTCCAGTTCATGAATATTCTGAAATCAGGTCCAGTAGTGGGTTTCTACTGGTTCGGTCCGGTTCGGCTGAACCGGTAGTGGCATGGCGGCCTGGGTAACCGGCAGTGACCCAGGCTGGTCACACCTCCGAACTGGTTCCCCGGCAGTTGCATCTTGATTTTGATTTCTGCGCGCAGAACAATTTCTATTGAATTGTGCATGCGCATGTAGCATACATCTAGCGCATGTGCACATGAAGTGTGCCCACAAGATAACTTGCAATAACGCCGTCTAGAACCCACTCCTGATCAGGTCATACTGTACATATTGATTTGCACCAATATCTATCTAGCCCAATCCTGTTAGATACTGGGATATAGCTGTATTTCAGAGTTGGGTGGGACAATTGCCTTGAGCAAGGGCTGTCCTGCAAATATTTTACTTTTTTAATGCCAATATTTTGGCAATTAAACCTTATGGAGTGTAGGGAATGGAGAAACAAGAAAAATGATGGGAGACCTGAATTGCGCAGAGCTTCTTTCGTAGGTGCATCCATTTATATATAATGTTTACTTAGAGGTGTGCAGCATTCAAATTCAACATACCAAGTGTTTGGATGTGGAATGGTCTGCTCCTGTGAGTTGCTCCATAAAGGAGCCATGCTCAAAACACAGCTACATGGGCTCAGGAAGAAGTGCACTTGAGTTGAGACCCTTGTCCTGTTTTAGATCTGAATACTGCATGTCTCTAACACAAGTGTGATGTGCTGTAACAGTTTCCACACGGTGCCTTGGAATTCCGTTTTGTATTGGGCTGCAATTGCTCTTGAAAAAAAAAACATTACATTTACAGTTCAGGTGTGCTTCTGAATGCTGACATGACAGATTTTCTGCCCCGCCAACCTTTTCTTATGGCATTATTGGGTTTTCCACCTCCTTTTTCAATAACCACTGTAGGGCTCATTAGATCAGAAAGCAGGAGGTAAGTGTACAAATGATTACACGGCATTCTAAGCTTCTGAGTTTTTCAATTAAGGAAATTGACCCTAGTAGCTAGCATTACAAAGCAACAAAGAAACTATTTTCCAGTGTTTTGGCATTGATCACATTTTTAACCAACAATTAGAAGTTTTTGAATCTTGAGGGGCGGAGCTGTCAAACCTGCAGCCCACAAGCAGGATGCGTCACATGCTGACCACGCCCATGCCCGGTTTAGCGAAGGAGGAAAAAAGCCCCGATATGTCACGTGACGATGCAGATTTGGCACCCCTGTTGTAGGGTTTCAATGATATGCTGTGCCACTAGTGTTAGAGTTGCTTCTTTAATCTGAGCAGAGAGAAAGGAGTAATCCCTTTGAATGATTGGTAAATCAAGATCTATTGCGCTTTTATTTTTATATTGGATACCTTGCATGTTTTTTTCTGTGTAAGCTGCTGAGAGTCCATTCAATTGCAGTGACACAGATGCATTTTATTTAACTTTATTACCAGTTTTACTCTTTACTAGTTTAATCATTACAAATGAAGTTACTTCATGAAGATCGCACAACAACCAGCTTTGAGCCACGCTGAGTTGGTTTTATTTATTACATGGACTCAAAGTAAGCAGATATGCTGTCCCATAAAATAATGTCCGATTTTAACCTTCCTCTTTTTTATTAGGATCATTGAAAATGGACAAGAGAGGGTAGAAGTGGAAGAAGATGGAGAGCTGAAATCCATCCAGATTAATGGTGAGTAGCTTAGGAGGAAGAGAACTCGGAATACCTTAATAACTTCTTTATAGAAGTGCAGAATATTTTTGGCCTCCTGGGTAACAGAGTGTTGATGGATATATTTAAAAGGTTTCCATGACTACCCATATCACAGCAGTGATTCTGGGCTGTGTAGAAAGTTAAAATAAAACAACCCCAATAATAAATGTCTGAACTTATAAACAACTTGCATTAAAACAAATAGCTGGCTCAGCAAACTTAACCTCTTTTTTAAAAATATATATATTTTTATTCTTTTTAAACAAAACAACACATACAAAA